AAAACAGTTTTAAGGCTTACGTGGAGGTAAAAAAATCGGCTCTAAGACTGACACATACGAGCTTCAGTTTTGATTTAACACAATAGCTTGTCATATTCGATTTGTTGTATATTTTTAGGTAATTTTTGACAGCTCAAATTAGAAAATGTAGATATAGGGTGGAATTGATCATCTCTTCAAATAACTTTCCACATTTGCTCTTTGTGAAACTTGGCTGAAGACATCGATCTTCCTTTTTATGATTTTACACATCATTATGATCGACTGGATCGTGATGATTCACGTGGTGGAGGGGTACTTTTGGAGATCAGAAAGTGCCATTCCTTCTATAAGAGTGAATCTTCCAGGTATAGAAGTTATCGCATGTCAAGCTATTCTTAAAGATAAGAAGCTTTGTATTCATCCTTGAATCTTTGTTAATCGAAAGCAACTTTCATATATATGTTCGGTACTTCCTGCTCCATGGTTGATCATGGGGGATTTTAATTCCCACGGTACAGGCTGTGGGGAACTGTATGATGACAACCGTTCTACTTTGATATACGATCTCTGTGCCAACTTCAATAGGATAATTCTTAACAATGGAGAAGTAACACGTTTGGGTGGTCCATCTTCGAATGGTAACCAATTAGACCTCACACATTGCTCTAATTCAATATCGTTGGATTGCACGTGGAAAGTAATTCCCGATCCCCACGATAATGATCACTTGCCGATCAAAATTTCGAATGCCAGTGGGTTCAATCCGTCCGAATGCATTAACGTCACGTACGATCTCACCCGTAATATCGATTTGATAACGTTCAAGAATCAAGACTGCGATAGATGAAGCCGTATCGTCGGGAGGAATATAACTTCCTCTCCAATCTGACCTTAGACAGCGCACTTCAAGCTCAAACACGTCCGGTTCCGGGAACGTCTTTCCGTAGGAAACCTCCCTCCCCTTGGTGGGATCAGCAATGTACTGAGGTTTACCGTAAAAAGTCCGCCCCGTTTAATCTTTTTTTTTCGGAAACGTGGAACACCTGAGCACTTCGTAGCATACACGGCTCTAGAACAAGAACTCAAGAGTCTCATCAAAGCCAAGAAACGTGGATACTGGCGACGGTTCGTGGACGGGTTATCGTGTGAGACGTCGATGCATGTTCTTTGGAAAGCGGTGCGACGAATGCGTAACCGGTCTTCGCACAATAATAGCACTATACTATCTTTTTTAATATGGGTTAACTATAAATTCTATTGGATTTAACGTAGGCATTCTATATTACGAAAAAGTCCCAAAAGAAGGTCCATCCCTGCTTGTAGGTCGACTTCAACAGTCCGTTGTATCTCGTTTCGATTAATCGGAGACTATCTTTGCTCTCGTTGGTTCTGGTACTGAAATAGCATTTGCGCGACTTACGCAGCACGTTCCGCAAATTACGTTACTCAGGGCTCCACCAGGGTTACATAGAAGTTGACCTTGTAACAGGCCTTTGCAGAGGAACTCGCACATAGAGAGTTTCGTACAGATTGCTGATTGCCCAGCAATTGCGTCGACAGAAACACCATCCAGGATCTGTTGCCAATTGAAAGTAGACAGTTCATTATTCAACGAATCGGAATCGCAGAGCCTGAAATCCAATTCAGGTGAATACGAATCACACATTGGCGTAGCTAATGGGGGTGCCAGGCCCCCTCCAGAATTATCTAGGCCCCCTCCAGATAAATTGTCTAGCTACGCCAATGGAATCACAGTCCGACATCATGGGCGGATTGCAGACGGCTTCAAATCTTAAGATGAAGGGCCTGTGATGATGGTCGGTATCCACTAGTGGTTCAAGAAGGTTGACATTATCCGTATCACTGATGGAGGCTAAGTAAAGCATTCTTCCATTCAAATAATGAATTGACTTGGATTAGCCCGCTAGCGAGCATCGGTTACGTGAGCGCCAGATCCTGTTCAGTGGACGCGTATGACGGTAAATAACCGTTCACGTCCTCGTCGAATGTCCAACCCAGAAACGGGAGGTTATAGTCGGCCATTGTCAAGATGATATCAGCGTTCGAAGATCTCTCAAAGATATTCTGTTGAGCATTAGTGTGAGACGTGTATAAAGCCGGGCTGGAGAGAGGACGGAGATAGATTCCGGTGATGAATAGCGAGCGGTGCTGCAGAGTGATGCGCACAGCCACTTGCTCCAAACGGTCGCAGTTCTCGAGCGTGAATGCTTGGATTTGACCGCAATACGTACACCGCCACCTCTGGAAAGATGACTGGTAGCTCGATTACGGTCTCAGGGGAAGAAATGATAACCTGACAAGAGCTCACAGTCCTGAATGTCCGTTCGAAGCTAGGTTTCGGTAAGAACCAGAACATCGTAGTCGCATGTTGAAAGCATTAAGCGGAGCTCGGTTGTCTTCGTTCCTAAACCTCTCACGTTTTGGTAGTAAATGGTGAAGACAGGATCCGTTTGGCTGCGAGGGTGTGTACTTGCGCTGTAGCTGACATCGTTAGATGCTGAACTGGAAACCACGAAACTATCAGGAGGCGGATGGAACGCCGAATAAAAGTACTTGCCTGGCAATGCCGACTGGATGTCCCCCTCACCATTTTCGAACGCAGGGCCGTGACGACTGTGATGGCAGGATACACCGGATAGTGAAAGTGTGGAGGTCGGCGTTGCAGGCTCGACTAGTTCGAAAGGCTCGGGTGCTTCCAAGATGCTTTGCGGCGTGCGTCTCGGTGAGGGGAATTCCATGTCAGCAGGAGGTGGTGATAGGATTTTGATTTTAGTAGAGCATTGAGCAGCACATACGTTGGATCGCTATGACTAAAACACCATGAAGCATCACGTACGGTAGGGTTCTTAACATATTGGTACTTGCCTGGAGTAGCCAATGTCCAAAGCAGCTCCGGGCGGCTAGGACAGGAACTGAAATTGCAAATTGCGATGAACCCCTTTGGTAGTCGAAAACTTTGAAAAGCTTCTTGAGCTTAATCCTCAAACTCGTTTCATGACTTTGTACTACGTGTACATAACACAGGATGTCAGCCCTTCACAGCATAATCCTCATCGTGTATGCTTCTCCAACTTCGGCAATTCAGTTAATTTTTATTTATCTATGGTGCAAGATATTTGCGGAATCCCAGAGCATCATTGTTCCATGATCATAATACATTGCAAAGTTTGGCCAAGTTGATTCCGCAAGATCGTTCTTCACAGATGGATCACTAATAGAAGCGTCCGCTGGTTTTGGTATTTATAATGAACTTCATAGCACCTCTCGAAAGCTTCAAGCTTCCTTATTCCGTATATGTCACTGAGATGGCGGTAATACATTACACGCTAGAAACTATAGCCCCACTTCCACCCGATCACTATTCCATATTTACGGATAATCTCAGTTCTGTCGATGGTATTCGCTGCTCGTATTTGCTCATGGAAAAATGAGGACTTCTAAGCAAGTGATTTATCTTTAAGTTCTGTTGTCATCACCTTTACATTGGTCCCATCTCATTGCTTGATTTCGGCAATGAGAAGGTGAACTCGTTTACAAAGGTGTGCGCTATGGAAGGCGATATTTACGAGCGACAAATCACCTGCAATAATTTTTTCTTCATTTATCGTCAACAGTCGCTCGATAGCTGGCAGAATAAATGGAGTGAAGAGAGTTTGGGACGATGGCTATATTCGATCATCCCTAAGGTATCGAAGAGTCCTTGGTTCAAAGGGTTGGAGGTGGGTCGAGAGTTGAGACTTCATTCTTGTGATTTCTCGCCTCACTATTAGTTAAACACTCACTTGTTCCATGTTGGCCTGGGGGACAGCAATCTCTGTGAATGTGGGCAAGGTTACCAGGACGCAGATCACATTATTTGGTCTTGTATTGAGCATCGTGGAGTCAGATCTGAGCTATATGATTCCCTTCGGGAATCAATAATTTCAATTCTGAAATAATTATAGTTAAATAGGAATAAGTTCATGTTTTAGGAAGCGGTGGGTTCGATTTCCCGGTCTGCTCGAGGGAATCTTTCGGGTTGGAAATTTTTTCGACTTCCCTGGGCAAAGAGTATCATTGTGTTGCCACATAATATACTAATTCATGGTTTGGTTGGCATAGAAAACTCTCAAGTAATTAATTACCACTCAGTTAAGAATAGGAAATAAAGGAAGACGACAGAAATCTGATCTGGACCCAGGTCAAGGGGAAAGTAAGCAGCCGCGTAGAACGGAAATCTTTCACGTTAGCCGTATGCATCACTAGGGGTGTGCCGGATACATAAGGAAGATGCCGGAGAATATGAAATTTATCATAAATTTCATGTGTGTATGGGCTGCATAAAACAGGCAAGGTATCCTGAAAACTAACTGGTTAAATTGCCTATACAATACTTAGGCTGTGAACCATTTGCCGAGTTAAATTTAACTCGTAGTTAAAAGTGACATTTCGAAAGTTATTTCTTATGTTCGAAAATCCCCGTGCTGTCGATCGACCGGTCTTCGAGCCACGGTCGTCAAAATTTAACTTCTTGTCTGTCAGAAATAACCACGCTCGGATAGCAGGGTTAATCGATAACTTTCCATCTGTCAAATTTTAACCAAAAGTTAAAATAATCCACCAAATGGTTCAGAGCCTTAGTCATTAAAACGGAAATAAGTTTAGAGATTTAGGTTTCAATACGCCATTTTTAGGAGTTAAAATTTTTAAATTGATTAAATAATAGCTGTTTAATTTTTTAGTTTATTCGAAAATTGCAAAATTTGCATTCCCATCGGAAAACTTTTCGATGAAATACCAAATAGAGAATACTCTTTTAAATCGACGTTTTCAAACAATCACCCGTAGTCTAAACCGTTCGAAACGGCACAAATCAAATTAATGGGAAATCCATTTCGAACGGAATACAGAATAGACATATAATTTTTTATTGAACATGGCAATCGAACATGAATAATAAAGACATTTTGTAGATTATTTATGTTACGAAATCAATGTAACAGAACGCAATTTTTGTTAAGATTTAATTAACAAATGCTTTTACTCAAAACATCGCTATATCAGTCAGTGCAGCAGCATATGGAATTACACTCGGACAATCATTACCCTACAACCGGGTTCAAAGGAAAAACTTGCTCTAGTGAAAGTATGAAATAATATCTTAATAGTTACGTAAATTTCAGATCCCATCACGGTAAACTATTCAACCACACTCAAATCAACCGAGAAATTACAGTTCATCCTTCGCCTCTTCTTCCGCGTCCTTGTTGTGCTTGCCCTTGTAATCCTTGTTCTCAATCGTCACCTGCAGGCACCGTTCCTGTTCCACCAGGAAATCCTTCGCATCCCACGCCTGGGATCCTTCTTTGAACATGAAAATCGCCCGGTTGTCATCAATCATGTACCGTTCCGCCTGAATGTGGCTATTCCACAGACTCGTCTGCCACAACTTTGTGATCTCTTCCGCTTCCGCCCGGCTGGGATTGCCATTGACCGTCACAAAGGTCATCAACGTTTTGCCCTTTTTGGATGCTTTGAGAATATTTTCCGGGTTGGTCATGTCCAGCTTGGACATGTCCAATGGTTCCGCTGGGCGGAGATGTTCCGGTAGCTCATCCGGTTCCAGCGGTTCTTCATCCTCCTGTGGAAATAAAAACGGTGTGTGTAAGAAATTGAATTCTATTGACTGGTAGGATTTGAGTTTGATTGATCTTCACTTACATCCCACTGATCCAATAGCCGTTCCAGGTCAGCATCCGTGTAATCTCGGATATTCTTCTTAGCCCAAGCCGGTTTCTCGCCTTCCTTGAATTTTTTCGCTTCAACGAAACAGCTCAAGCTGGCTATCAACAGTACGACTAGGAGATGTTTGTGCATTGTGAAGTAATTTTACAATACGTTGTATTCACCGAATACTTGTACTTAACAATAACTTTTAATCGAAGTGATACTAATTTCTGCTTATACTTCTTTCGAGCTAGATACAACGAATGACGTATTCACTTGAAACTGGCTTGTCAGCGGTTACAATACAATACATATTCCACTGTACACAGATAGATGCCTACATTCACACACTCTATCGATCTGTGTTTCTGAACGGCAAGAAGAACCACGAATGAAAACGAAACACGACTGCGAGGCTGACAGGCGTGTTCCAATCTGTGCTACAGTCTGGGGTCGATACACACTTGGGACACTTATGAGTGTTTTATTACTTTTCTTAAGGATCTTTCACTGATTTTATCATAATATAATATTATTCTGTTATTGCTACTAGGATGTCGTTTAATTTTGATTGTACCCGATTGACTATTTAATTATACCCGAGAACTATTTAATTATACCTAATTTATGTACAGTAAAATGTGCAAAATGTGTGCTTAAGTTCAGTGATATTCGATGGCAATAATTTAAGAAGAGGCCGGATAAGTTTATGGACAAGTTCAAATAAATTCAGAGAAATCTGGTGGATTTCGTTGGAGAATCTGCAGGATGGGTCTGCTTCAAATAAATTGGAAACGAGTCTGATGAGTGCACTTCCATTTTACCACCTAAACTTCAAGGGGTGTCCGAAGGACTTCTAAAGCGGGTAATTTGAGTGCATGTTCAGTGCGTTTCGACTGCAAGACTGACTGCAGAGTTTCTGTACTGCGGTTGGAAGCATAAGTGGGCCATGTTCAATGGAACTTCGATAGAACATGGAACAGTTCAGTGTAGCCATCATTGTGCATTTCCATCCGTGTCAGGACAGACTTGAAGTATTTATCGAATATAAGAATATTTAAATTCACGACACTTTGTATGTCATTCCGAAACACTTCAAAGCTCATTTAGTGGCAGGTTAGGATGACTTTTGAAGCAGATTGAGAAGATTTTGACACAAGTTCCGGCGAATTTTATACCGGTTAATTTAATTTTTAGATACGAAGCATTCATTAAGATTCCGATGAATTTTGTAGTACCGTCAAACGGGGTCACTTGCAACACTTTTCAGGTTTCTCTCTTCACAACTTTTCAAATCAAGTTTTTTTTTGTTCTAGTACTATGCGATAGTTTTAATGAGTGTTCATACTCGAAAATAAGAAAATAAGAAAAAAATGCATTTTATAATTTACTAGAAAATATCAAAACGATGGGTGTTGCAACACTTTTGTTAGTTTAATGAAAACAGAACTTTAAAACAATTTGATCATGGTAATGTTTGGTCTTAGATTTTTCTGAGATGCTTTTGGTGCCGGAGGATGAGCTGAAGGCACTTGTTGCTTAGGCTGTTTCCTGTTGTTGTTAGTTGGTCCAACTTTGGTTGTCTTTGCGCGCTACGTTGTTGTTGAAGAGGAATTTAAACTAGTCTTCTTTCATCACGTCTTCGGCAGTCACGGTCTGTCCAGGTTCAGTGAGGATTCGCTTTTTACGGACCTGTCCAACTTGCGGGGATGTCCCAAATCGTGCCTCCTTTAACGCTGACAAAAGCGTTGGACCATGAATTTTCAGCCTCGGTTTCATTGTTGGCATCTGGAAGTTTTCTTATCACTTGTTGTGGATTGAGTGGACATATTCCCGTTGTACGGAATCCAGCACGCAAACTTTCAGCAGCCTTATCGAGCTTCTCAACAGTCTTCTTAAAAAGACCCGGGTGTTTCTGTACTTTACCAGAGAACTTCGACTTATACTCCAAAAGAATATTTCGCCATTTGATTTTCAACGGACGGAAGAATGCCACATCGAGCGGTTGGCAAAGATGTTTGCTATTGGGTTCTCCTTATTTCCTTGGCTGTACAGAAACCCCTTGACGATCAATTTAAGATCATTCTTTTGGAAAGGCATTCCCCACTCCGCTGCAAGCAACAAACCATCTTCCAATATCTGCTCCTCTTGGCTTGTAAACACTGTTTGTCCACCGTAAGCTTTCTTTTCAAGTAATGCGAAACCGTTGAAGGACATAATTTGTACCGCTGGGCCGCTTTCCGGATAGATAATCTGTTCTTTTTAACTTTTAGCGCTGCTTTTTCCAAAGTTTCCTTTGAGAAATTAGCATACCTGCGACTTCCAGAAGGTTTCTTGAAGGCCCTTGGCCTGATTCCGGATGTAACAGAAGCCCTGTAACATAAATTCGAAGACAAGAATTTTGTTAGAAAGTAAATAAGCAGTTTTTAAAGCTTTAAACGATTGCATATCAACTATTGCAAGTCACCCCGCAGAGGGACACATATCAGAAAAGTTGATTTTTCCACAGCAATAAGATTTATTAGTTCTATTGTTTTTACAGAATTTTATCTATGGTTGGATACTAAAACCTGGGAGGTGACCGATTTTGGTGGGTTTATTCTTATTTTCTAACAATAACTTACGGTTTCCGATGTCTAAATGTGTCTAAATGTAAATAATCAACTGCACTGATGATGCCAGAAAAACAACAACAATTTATATTTTTCACTCGATCGATAACCAGTAACAATAAATAGAGTGTAAACAATACACGCGTGATGACAGGCGCTGATGTTTATGTTTATTTTCACTACCAAGGAACTAAAACTGCGTATTAATACAAGTGTTGCAAATCACCCCACTGTTGCAAGTCACCCCGTTTGACGGTAAGTAAGCAGGCTTCAAAGATGGATTCCGAGCAATAACAGTTTCAGAAATCTTCAACAGCATGTTAAATGAATTTCCATGGAGTAGAGGAAGTGAGACTTTGCAGATAGACCGAGATATTATAGCATTGTATGGGTTTTACAGATTGGGAGTGCTTTTTAATGCAATTGTTGATTTAATTATTTCAGCAATTAAACATGCCTTCATTTCGCTAATTCCATAGGTTAACTGAATTTGTAATGGAGATCCTTTGGACTTGCAAATAAAGCTTATTTATTGTCCTCAAATGATACATCATGACCACTGAACTTTCAACTTAGCCGAAAATTACCATTAATTTTCATTTGAGAGTATTTTGAAAATGGTCATCCTTCGGAATTGGAAACCACAATTCTTCAACCTACCGGTAAGTTATGAGTCGTATGATAGATATAAGCGTATTTATTCATGACACTACAGGAATATTTCAATGTTGCAACTAATCAACTATTCAATGCAGCTTAGTGCTTACATATAGTAAAAAGAAATAATATAACTTAAGAGTAACTCCAAAGCCTGCAACAGAACGTTAGATAGCAATACTTCTTAATAAACTGTCAAAAACAGTACTTTGTTTGACCTTCTACTGCACTTTCGCTGTATCGCTGCTGATAAACAGTGTCTCCCATAGTAACCTCACAAACCGTACTATCATTGCCTCCACTGCTGCAGTTATTACCGATACCGATTCACGTTAAAAAAAATCAAACGATAAACTCAAAACATTATTGCACTATAATCAAACTCACGCCCGCGATGTCTTCCCTCAGCGCCAAGATCGGACCGTCGATTCTGAACGCGGATCTCTCCCAACTGCACGAGGAATCTCAGCGGCTACTGGACAATGGTGCCGACTATCTGCATCTGGACGTGATGGATGGCACGTTTGTACCGAATCTCACCTTCGGCCATCCGGTTGTCAAGTGCCTTCGGAACAAAATTAAGGTAAGTTTGTTGTCTTTTCCTTCTTAGTGCTTCGATTAATTCAGTGCGATAATATATTTTAGGATGCTTTTTTCGAAACGCATATGATGGTGCAAGCACCGCAGCAGTGGATCGAACCGATGGCCGATGCCGGCGTCAATCAGTACACCTTCCACATCGAACCGGTGATGGACAGTGTGGTGGACATTTGTCGCAAGGTGCGGGAATCGGGAATGAAAGTAGGACTGGCGCTGAAGCCGGGCACGGCAGTTGAGGTTGTGAAGGAGTTTATTCCCCTTGCCGATATGATTCTCATCATGACGGTGGAGCCCGGTTTCGGTGGGCAAAAGTTTATGAACGATATGATGCCGAAGGTTCAGTGGTTGCGCGAGAACTATCCCAACCTCGACATTGAGGTCGACGGAGGGGTCGGCCTGGGTACGATTGATGCTTGTGCGAAGGCCGGAGCCAATATGATCGTTTCCGGGACGGCAATCATTCGGGCCGACGATCAAGCGGCAGTTATTCGACAGTTGAAGCATTCGGTTGATTGCTCCATCAAGCATTGAAGCTGAGTTGTTGAGAGTAGAAGAGAGTTCCAAACTGAAATGATTCCTTTTTTTGCAAAAAATAAAAATAAACTAATTACAATTTGTTATGCATTTAACTGTTCATATCAGTCCCATCTTGATTTCCTATTCATATGGGACAGTTATGCGATTATGAATAGTTAACGTATTTGATTTTTGAAAGAAAGCTTCATGATGCACACAATACGCAAATTCATGCATTGGTTTATCATGGAAACTCTCAATTAGTAGGTCTGTTTCCGTACTTGCTTTTTTGCTTTTTCTGTTGCTGCAGCTGTCTGTAAGTTTCTGATGTTAGAAAATAATATGGTGCAGCAAGTACGGTAACATGATTTTGCTGTACAGAATCTTACAGAAAATCAAGTACGGGAACAGACCTAATAACTGTGGAAATGCATCAAAGAACAGTACCGTGGAGGTACCATATTTGGCGCAGGTCTAAACTTGACGCACTTTTGTAAAATGTTCGCACTCAGACAAGTATTTCACGAAATAGTGAAAGAAAAATTGCACCACTCAAGTGTGTCAAAATTTGTCTGCATAAACAAAGAAGCTAAGAAGTTGGTTGATCAGTTTGTTCCGGTACTATTAATGCAATTTTACCATGCTTTTGCTTTTGAAATTATAATTTGATTTCAGTTTAAGCTATAGACACATTTGATAAAAAATGTTTTTTTTTTTCATTTTGCTCACAACATCCAATTTACTTTTCGATTTGATTTGAGACTTTCCAAGAGAGAAAATTTCTTAGGGAATTCTGAGGAGAATTCAAGTGGAGTAGCAGTAGTAGTTCTGATTAAATATCCGTGGTTAGTGTGACTTTGTGAGGATAATTCAAAGGAAAATTCAAAAACCATTTTCAAAAATATTTCGACAGAATTTTGCGATAAAATCAAATGGAATTTCAATGATAATTACAACGGAGTTTTGAGAGTTCAAAGAGCATTCAAAGATAATTCCTATTTAAATTCTAAGAATCTCCCCTAATTCTAAATTTATTACTGATCGACTGCGAAATAGTATGAGTTTGGAAATGGCTTTCACCCCCCACCCACATAATCAAAATACTGTTATTTTCCACATAAAGTAACCGTATTTTGATTTTGTCGAGACTGAAAAGCCATTTCCAGCTCAACATTCTAAAAACATTCTTGCAGCAATTACAAGATATTTCTAACAAAAAAAAATGGAATTTGAATCAAACCATGAACCCTTAAGGACTTGTTAGGTGAACTGAGATAACAACAACTTAGATGACTTGGAGATGTAGAAAATATTTTTAAAAAAATCAATAATTTTGAAGAATTCCAAGGGAATGTTTGGAGATGATTAAAAAGAACCCCTACGAAATTTTCAGGTGAATTTCAATCAATCACTGAGAGCATTCCAAGGAAACTTTTGAAAGTTCAAAATAACGAACTGATTTATTTTCATTGTGCGGTTGAAGTTTTGTGCGGAGGATGTGCATCGTCGTTCTGCCGTGATGTACTAAGTTAAGTAAGTTATCTTTATTAAGGAGACATTCAGCCTAACGCTGGTTCGTCTCCGGGTTCCGCAAGTCACAAAGTTGAAAAATTGAGGAGTGTCCATAGGGGACACTTCTAAAAAGAGAGGGAGGGTTCCTGAGAGGAGTTTCTTATAATAGAAATCTTAAGTAATGCTGTTTCATGCTGGTGGGGGTTTCCTAGGGTTGTTGAATGGGAAAAGTTTAAGTTCGTAGCGATGGTTGGTGTTATTGAAGGTGTTCCTGATGGGGTGATAGCGGTAGTTGTTTCTATCCGCGGTATGCTGTAGGCGGTGATGACTCGGGTGGAGTTATATCTGGTTGTACAGGCCTGTCTCGCGGAGAAAGGTCAATAGCGCAGGAGTCCTTGCTGAGGACATTTTTTATGTTGCAAGAGATACCGTATTGGTATCTGGCTCCTTGGTATTGTGGGCAGTGGCATATCAAGTGCTCCACCGATTGATGGATCTGGCATATTGGGCAACGTCGGTGGAATTCGCCATTCCCAGCAATGTTGTGCGACAGTTTAGACAACACCACTTGAGAACGATGGTCAGGTAGGTCTTCCCATCGGTGCGTCTCTCCTTTTATCTTACGGATAAAAAGATCTCTTCTGCCTAACCAGTCCTTGCTCCAGTTCTCGCATGTATTTTTTAACAGCCAATTTATTAAGTCTGGACCTGGAACTTCGCTTGTCAGTTTGTTCATTAGTCGACCAGAAGAGGCGAGGTGGTCGGCTTCAAAGTTACCCTGGATGCTACAGTGGCGCCGTGACGTACTTTTTTTCTGATGGCTTCGGCTGTTTGGTTTTTCGGTTGTTGTTTTTTGCCATACCCCATATGCGATAATTTAATTTGATATGATAAGCTTTTGCAAAAGATTTGTTATTGAATTGGTGCTACAATAGTGTTTTGTGTACTGCTCTCACATTTCGTTTTGTTATCCGGTATGACCTCGATCGAGCGTGTGCTGAGTGCGATAAGTTGGTTCACCCATGTGTATTCGAAAAAGAATAGAGACTGCAAACATGAGTGACCGAGATTGGTGATGAAAGTACCAGCCAAGCAAAAAAAATGATATGGAAGGAAAGTTGATCATTCCCAACTATTGTCCGTATCTTAGAATTGGCTTGAGAAGTTTTTTTGTCTTCCTTTATTTAACGTCGGTCTCTGTTCCGCAATCTATTGCAAATCACCGATGGACAACGATTGCCATCCATTGATGGAAATCGAATGTGCAGCAGGAAGCACATAACATATGTGGAACTCGATCATGAAAAATCGACCCCATTTCAGTGATTTCAAGTGGTATAGAAGGACATCGATCTGTCAAATTGATTATACCAGCTGTAAAATGAGAAAGAGGATCAAGGGGCTTGTCATTTTTTTTTGAATGATTCTACCGTGGTTTATAATTCTATGTGTTCCTAGCACTCCTGAACTCATATCTTACTATTTCCTTTTATGTGCTTTATTTATAATTATACAGCTAACTTTTACAAATTCGTCACCTTGATTCACACAGCAAAACTGTGGTAAACTTAGAAGAAACGTGTATGTAACATTTCCTTCTTTGAACACTTTCTACTTCTCAAAAAACATGGTAAGGTTGATTCTTGTTGATTGAAAAGGCAAAAGAAGAGCTACACACAATCATAACAAACTTTTTTCGACCACTATGGCTAAGGTCCCAGTATGGGACTCCTAGCTAGCTGTTTAAAATATAAGCATTATTTACTAACAAAAATAATGGTTAATATGCATCAACTCGATATTTCGTGATGTAATCATAAGTTGACGCACTAAAAGCACAGATAACAATATTTCAACATACCACGGATAAAATAATAGATTTACACCTATTCAACGTAATCCTTAAATCTTCGAATTGTTTGCATTAAATTATATTCAATTAACATAATGTCCGTCATGAATCCAATGCAAACCAAAAAGACGAAGAAGTAATGCATCTGTCTTCTTCATTCCTTTATTTAACGTCGGTCTCTGTTCCGCAATCTAGAGCCAATCACCGACGGATATCGATAGCCATCTCCATTGACGGCAATCGACTGTGCAAGGCAGGCAGCTTCCACACCTGTAAGATATCGCACCCATTCAACACACATGGGCCGGGACCAACGGTTTTTTACTTCCCTTCCGAAGGAACGTGAACAGAGATTTTTATGCCTCAGAAAAATCCCACCGACCTCGGCTGGGATTGAACCCAGATCCATTGGGGTGTTAAGAAAGCAGTCACGTTTACCACTACACCACCGGCGCCGGCATAATGCAAATGCCGGCAATATTACTGAATAACAACGCTCTTGATTGGCTTCCGACCGACTTGAAAATACTAGCTAAAAAATCCTTTGAAAAGCCCCCTGTCGAGCTAGTCAAAAAAAGAATGCCTTGCCCACACGTCAAACTCCGTCAAGCATTTAAACAGCGGACGAACACCATCTCATTACGCATTACCGTGACTATTGGCAATTCGCCTCTTCGGTCACTCTGTAACTCTTCACTCCTATGGTAAAATCCCATAAGCAAACATCAGTCTGTGTGTGAAACTTGATGAGCATTTGCTTACCTTTTCACTCCTATGAAAATCCCATATGATTCTGTCAATCTTTGCGTGAATATACAGCGCCTTGCTGGAGGAATGAAGAGATAAGACAAAGTCCGCTCAGGGCTGGCAAATGTCATTTTCAATGAAAGATCTCACGCGATATTTACAGAGATACTTCTGTCACTATCGTTGGATGAGAAAACGATGAAAGAGATTTTCTTCAATATCTCATCGAATTTTTCGTCATGACAGAACGTGACAGTGTTGTGATCATCGTAATAACTAGCTCATTTAATACTATTAAAGTTACTTGTACCGAGGAAATCTTAATAATATATCCACTCTACCGATTACATACGGTAGTTTGCTTAAATTCATCGAAATTAGTTAGAAATGTAGATGTCAACAAAACCGCATAAGAATTATTCTCATGAGTGCTTGATCATTGAAAAATGACAAGAAAGCTAATGATAGGTAGTTTCGTCTCGTGATAGTGAAAGAACCTGTTTTCTCATCGTCACATGACGGCCGTGATATTTACCAACTCTGCACTTTAACGCTCTTGGGTCATTCGTGACTTGTCCGGGGTGAGATTTGAACTCGTGACTTTGGCGTGAGAGGTATGGATGTTAACCACTACGCTGGAGTCGCCCCTAGTTTTTGAATATTACATCCAAACTGCTGCAACCAGGTCAATCCATCGGTTGTGTAATATCACATTGTACGATGTACATCGATTTTGTGAACAAAATTACATCCATTGATGTAATATTGTATCTGCTTTTTGCTATTACATCATTATTTCATACATCAGCTTGAATTACATTGATCGATATTAATTTTTTTTTTGCTGTGTAGGAGTAAAGAGTTGCAGCAACAATCAATTCGAAACTAACGATTTTAAATTGGCT